CAGAAGATGGAATCATCGTCCACCATACACAGCACTGGGTACATGTGTCCACCGATCACCTACCATCCTGTACTGGAACTATTGGGTTCTATAATGCAACACCCCCGAAGGGATTATCATCCCTACCCATTTTTGTTTCTCTTTCACCCCGCAGTCACTAGTAAATAGTGGGCATCCTATGAGCTGGCAAAATGCGTGGTGAAAGAAAACAGAGAGAGAACGGCTTATTCAGTGACATCCAAGAACAATCAAATTCGGCCGTTAACTATTACAGAACCGACTCTAACACAGAATTAAAAATAAACCTAAGTCATGTTCAAACATAGTAATTTATACCACTTGACACTGATTGCCTTTCTTTCCTACCCTCTTTTCCTTCCTATTCATTTCATTCATACAACAAATTTTGACCAAGCACTTGGTGTTTGTTCAGCACCATGCTATGAGTATATAAGCATCAGTAAAATGTAATTCCTGCAATATTTAGATTTAGAACCTGGCACTATCACTCAATAATAACATGAGCTTTGAGGAAAACAACCTAACTGACCACAGTTTCCTCTTTAAAAACAACACTTTATTTATTTCTAGAGAAAGGGAAAAGCAGGGAGAAAGAGGGAAAGATCTCTGTGAGAGGAAAAATTCAATTGGTTGCCTCCCATATGCGCCCTGATCAGGGACCAAACCTGCAACCCAGGCATGAGGTCTGACTGGGAATCAAACTGGTGACATTTTGCTTTTGCAGGACGACACCCAACCAACTAAGCCACACCAGTCAGGGGCAGTTTCCTCATTTTTCAATTGGCCTAAAGAAGAGTAATAGCCAATTAAGGGGAAAAAGGGGGAGGGATTTGGAGGAACAAATAGGAAGGACACAGGGACGAGAACTAAGGGGGGTGGAAATGGGAGGGAGGTGGGGAGCAAGGGGCGGGGGAGGCTGGGAAGGGAAAAATAGACAAAAAACTGTACTTGAAAAATAACTAAATAAAATTAATTTTTTTTTAAAAAAAGAGTAATAGCCAAACTAGGTGTCTCTTCGACCCCTCCATTAAGTTTCCTTCACTAAGCTAGAATAATAATTTCAATTTAAGGCATTGGGAAGAGGGAGAATTCTCCTTAGCAGGACAGGAAGGAAAGAAAGCTGCAGCCACTCTTACATGACTTTTTGTTTTGTTTTTGATCCATCACAAGGATGTTTAGCAACCTGCAGGGAAAAAAGGTGTCAGATTCAAATGTAAGAGGAGAACCAAGTTTAGAAGAGAGAAAAAGTGCAGGAAAGGAGTAGCAACAGGCAGATGTGTCAGGCTGGAGAGAGGAAAGGGGTGACCTAACCATCTGGTTGTAACTTAAAATATCTTTTCTATGCCATTGATATGGCTATTGAATGTGACTAATAGAATTTGCCCAGTTGTGAATGGATTCTACCCATGGATACAAAATAGTCTGATGTCCTTGGAGGTGTTTTCCTTAAAATTTTAAGTACTATGTGTGAAAGTGAATTATTGAAGAAGCAAAGCAGGAACAAATACACCACTGGGTTGTGCCCAAAACATATGAACAGGGTTTTTGTTGAGTCGGGGAAGCAAAAATGAGACACTGAAGCTGTTAGTTTCCATATACGGGCTTGGAGCCTGACAATCTAGGGTGAGATCTCATCCTCACCACTTACTAGCCATTTAACCTCAGGCGAAACATGTGCCCCGCATTGGGGACTTGACCTGCAACCCAGGCGTGTGCCCTGACAGGGAATAGAACTGGTGACCCTTTGGTTCACAGGCCAGCACTTAATCCACTGAACCACACCAACCAAGGTGGTTTTCTTTTTATATTAAGCATTTTGATGAAATAGAGCTTGAGCATTATAATTAAATCCAAATGGGATGAGGAAAGAAAGTAAAAGGGCTGAGAGAAATTTTTATTTGACGGAGTTATTGGCTTAGGTAATATAATCATAATGTATTACAAGCAAAGATAGCACTGTAGATTTCTGACCAGGTGATCACTGAAACCATTAGCACGTTATATATCAGAAATTAAAACCTAACCTCATGAGTAGAGCAGTTTGAGCTTATATTTATAACTGCCCTGGAAGTCTATTGCTGAGATGAAAGGTCTTTATTTATTAGGGCCTGAGTCAAGTTCAGGCCAATGAAAGGAAGGCACTAATCTAAGAGATGGCTTGGAATAGAAGTCTTCACTGGCCATAGAGATGTTTTCCAGAGGAGGTATGGAATTATGTTGAACTTGGAAGGAAGTTATCCAACTAAGCACAGGGTGACTTTATTTTTTAAAGTGTTTTTTTTTTCTGTATTAGTATTTAAAACGTACTCTCCTATATTTGTCATAGGAAAGGCTTGAATTGCTTATCCACATGGCAAACTGACTTTGGGCATGTATTCTTGGTATTGCTGTTTTTCCTTCACTAAATGCAGCTCCCACCAGTACTCAGAGCAGTGCTTTGAGGGAGGCTAGAACCAAGTGTAACTAAGGTTACTAAGATTTTCTACTGGACCTCTACACACCAGCTCCATCAGATACCCACTGTGTTTCATCAGTCCTATCAAATGTTCCCTTTAGAAAGCTAAGACAAACCCTATGGGAAAACAGGACTAAACACGGATTTGGGAATGCTATGGGTTTACAAAAGAATGGAGAAGACCTATTCATTAGCCTTTGGTTAGAGTTCCACAGTTGCTTCAAATTCTGGGCACTTAAAACACTTTACTCCCATCTGCAATGGATAAGTGAAGGAGAGCTTCTTTGTTCAGGGTTCAAGTACTCTTGTGACCGTCCCAAAATAACTCTGAGTGTGATACAGTAGAGCCTCACGTAGCTAAACCCTCAAGCCTTTGACCTGTCATGATTGTCTCCCTGATCATCTTTCTTAGGCAGGCCAAGGGTTCAAATAACATTTTCCAACAGGCAGAGTCGCATAAACCCCTTCTTTTTGCCTTTCCAAACCCACGAGAAGTTTCCTTGTCAAAGACAAAGGACATAAGCTGGACTTAACAAGGACTTTTCTTCTACACAAGTTTTCCTAGTAGCTTACACTGTTCTTTACTCAGATTTGAATCAGATTAAGTCAATCTTCCCCTTTGATTTTTGTTTCACCAAAGGATCTTATTTTCTTAATCTATGAGATTTTACAAAAATTGTGATCATTTCAGCCAACCGTTTATTCATCGGGCCATGTTGCCGCTCTTCAGCCTGAGTATTTGGCTATTCCATCAGCCAAGTTATCCTGCTGAGTTGAGCATTACAGAAATCTGATCGTTTCCCTGGTCTCTGTTTTGGAAGATGCTGGAGTTTTACCCTTGGTGACAGCATGAAAACAATATTTAAAATAGGTTAACGAAGAGATGAGAGGGTAAAACTTCAATTGTGTTGTTTAAAACCACCTCAAGGTACAGCACAGGAAATGAAAAAGGGTTTTATGAAAACTGGGCAGTTTCCTGAGTCATAGTAGCATCACATGAAAAAGTCACTCGTAAAATATGTGTGTATAGAACAGTGTGACTTTGATACCAAAAGGATGGGACTACAGCAATAACATGGAGTATTTGGGCAATGAAATTTTAGGTCATTTATTTTTTCTTTCATATACAATGTGGGATATTTTCTTCTTTATTTGTATAGCTTTCCTATATCTTCTCTCTATCTACATGATTTTACACAATCTTCACTATTTCATGCAAGTGTTCTTTTGCAGAATAAATTCCTAGAAAAGGAAGTGTATACATAAACCATAAACATTTTAAGGGTATAAACCAATTTTTGTTTTACAAACATAAAATTTAGGTGATAAAATGTTGGGTTTTCTGTGACATAAAAGACACATTTCATTTTCACCAATAACTTTATTGATTTGGATGTTTTGAGTATGTTGGCTGTCTCCCGCTTTTGGCTTCTGGTAGGAAGAGGCCAGGGGCACTGCCAAACATCTTCAGATGCATAAGACGGCCCCACAGCTAAGAATTATTTGGCCAAAATGTCAATAGTACTAAGAAATGTCGAAAATCACTTTTGACACATTCACTCAGTCACAGCACCTTCTACATACACAGCAAAAATCTTTTTTTGACTTTCATTTGCATTTTTACCTTTCTTGAAGTAATAAAACATAATACACCAAAAATGTTGCTTGTTTTCTTCTACCCTCAATATTAAAATGACTACATAAAAATTCACTAATTTTGTTTTTTTATAAAGGTTTTATTTATTTATTTTTAGAGAGAGGTAGGTGATGGGAGAGAGAAAGGGAGAGAAACATCAATGTGTGAGAGAAACATCGATTGGCTGCCTCTCGCATGCCCCCAGCCAGGGACCTGGACTGCAGTCCAGGAATGTGCCCTGATGGGAATCGAACCAATAACTTTTTGGTTTGCAGATGACGCTCAGCCTACTGAGCCGCAACAGTCAGAGCTTGATGGTTTCTTTTTAAATGCACGCTGATATGAGAGCTGTCACGATACAATCTAACAAAATTGTTTTGAATGAAGTTAAAGGCAACTAAGCACTACTAGAGCCATCCTACGGAAAAACTAAACAAACTTTTTGGCCAACCCGATATTACATAGCTAACACTTTTAAATTTTCTTTAAAAAATCACTTGGGTTGTTTTTCTTTTATCATGGTTACAAATGGTACATGCTATAAAAATACTTTAACAAATAAACCTCCATATTATTATTATCATCATCATCATTATTATTATTAACAAAACAGGATCTTATTATAATACTGTTCTGCAAGTTGCTTTTACCCCCTGATATATTGCAACCATATTGCTCATGTCAATATGGATAAGCCTACTTTCTGTTTGCTGGCAACGAGCATCTTTGTATGTGCCATTTCATTGTGTAGCCAACACATACACTAAAACATACATACAATCAGACTCCCCTTAGTGGACACGTGGCTCAATTCCTTAGTAATTACCAACAGTGCCACAGTAAATGCCCTTTTATGTAACCTTTACTATCTTGTGCATGATTTTTTTTCAGGGGAGAGCATGAATGCAGTTACCTCTACCACAAATTGTGGAGTCGAGTTTCCCACATTTGGGGACATCGCAGGGGTCAGCACATCTGGAGTGCGGTGGATAAGCCTCGCCCTGGGAAAACCACCTTCGTGATCACGGCCATCTCCCCTGCCAGCTAAGAATAGTTGTGCATGGATTTCTGTAGTCAATTTTTAGGAATGAAAATGTAGGTTTCCCACTCAGTCTGGGTAATGGGTTAGACGGCATTTCTAACTTACTATGACCACAGGATGCAGATTGGTGTCACCTCCAAAACCACCTCCTGCAGACCACACTGTCTGAAAAACCACCAAGTTCAGCTGGAAAAACGGCAAGTTATGACTTCTTTTCAGAGTCTTCACCAGTAGGTGGCACCTCATCTTCCTTTGTATTGACTAAAGTGCCCCCTAGCCCCAGTGCATTCCCAGCGAGTCACTGAGCCCTCACTAACAAAGCGATGATCACATCATGTACAAATGCTCCTGTCTCTTGCGCTCACCCCGTGTTTGTATTGTTCTGGTTCCAGGACGCTGAGACTTTAAGCCAGAGGCTCTAACTTGAGCAGGAAGAGTTTATTTTGGGATGAGGAATCTTCCCCCATAAGAGGGCCTCTCAACCAGTGTCTCTATTTCTACGTCTTTAGAAACTGGGAAATGCTGGAAGGGAAGACTTTTTCTAAATCTGTGGAATTGACTCTTCTCTCCAAAAGTACCAGACTCATGTGGATTTTGTCCCTTCATAGTGGGAAACACAGCTGCGGGGACACTGAGGGGTCATGCTGAGAGCCATTCCAGTCAATTATGCTTGAGAAAATGACTCTATAAATCTCCTTAAGTATGTAGAGTTGATGGGATAAATATATACAAAGTATCCATTTCATCCACCCTATAAATACACGTGTTTAAAAGGGCCAAGGGGGAAAGAAGGAACAGTAAACGGCGATTTTTAAAAATGTGATGACATGTCATTTTGTTCTGTGGAGGTGTCAGTTTTCTTTTACACAAATGTATCAGAAAAGCTCAGTGTGAGAGTATAATATTTTACTTTTCTTAATAAAGTTTTGATTAAAGTGAGTAAATGTTTGGGGTTTTTCCCCCCTCTAAAAAAATTAGTATTGCCATGAATAAACCTCCAAGAGAAATATGGGAACAAACTGGAAATTCCTGATCTGCCTTTTCTAGAAATGTGCCATTTCTATATGTCTCTCTTAAAGAACAATTCAAGCACATGGGATTTTTCTCAGATGAGTGAAGAAAAGATGAGCTTTTGGTGTTGGTAAGAAAGTTAAAAATAACAATTTATGATACGTTTGACCAATTGCTCGGTATAGCACTGTGCAAATTCCACTTTGGACCCTCTGGGGATGGTTTTTATACGTGATGCACAGGGTTTGCTTATTATCGTGTAGCCTGCAAAGGGGTAGTCCTTTAAAAACACCCAGATTTTCCTCCTCCCTTCTTACCCTTTTCCTTTCAAACCCAGAGAGAGAATGTAAAGTTAGGGTCTTTTCTAACAAAATATTTTATAAGAAATTAGGTGATGTGGACCAGTAAAATACAAAAAATGTCTTTATTTTGCTCTAAGTTAGCCAAGCACATGATGAGGTTGACCCATCTTCCCAGAGTGTGATGTTGATATTGTGTGTGTGTGTGGGGGGGGGCTAAAAGGTGAATTTTGAACTACAAAATTATGCAGTGTAGAATTACTATTTGCTTTATAGTTGCATATTTATGAAAACTATTTGCATATTCATGTGAACACGTGTTCCTCTTTTTAAGCTACAGCATCGTGTTTTTAAATTTTCTTGTCCCATCTTCTAAGTCTGACACAGCACCAAACCTCTATCTTAGCCTAACTTGAGATTTTAAAAAAGTAAACACTAACTTTGGAAATGGGGAAGAAAACGGTATTTTTAATGTGACTTATGAACGGAATATAACCCTTTGTACCCAGCTCAATATTAGGCTCTTAAAAAATATCACAACCCTGGCCAGAGCGCTCAGTTAATTTGGATCATCCCACAAACCTAAACTTTCAGTTCCAGGTCAGGGTTTGTACAAGAAGCAACCAATCAATGTTTCTCTCTCACATTGATGCTTCTCTCCCTCTTTCTCCCTCCCTTCCCTTCTCTCTAAAATCAATAAGCTGCCTTGGCTGGTGTGGCTCAGTGGGTTGAGCACTGACCTGCGAAACAAAATGTCTCTGGTTCGATTCCCAGTGAAGGCACATGCCTGGGTTGTAGTCCAGGCCCCCAGATGGGGGCCTGTGAGAGGCAACCAATCGATGTTTCTCTCACACATCAATGTCTCTCTCCCTCTCTTTTTTCCTCCCTCCCCCTCTCTCTAGAAATGAATAAATTAAAAAACATCTAAAAAAATAAATGAATAAAATCAATAAGCATATCCTTGGCTGAAGATAATAATAAATAAGTAATCATAAAGAAAAGAAAAAGCAAAAATATAAAAATAATTATGAAATTGTTTGCTACAGGATTCCTTTTTAAAAAAATTATATTTTATTAGTTATGCTATTATAGTTGTCCTGATTTTCCCCCTCCACCTGGCATCCCCTATTCCCTCAGAAATCCCCCCACAATTGTTCATATCAATGGGTCATGCATATACGTTTTTTGGCTACTCTATTTCCTATACTGTACTTTACATCCCCATGGCTATTCTGTAACTACCTATTTGTACTTCTTAATCCCCTCACTTCTTCACCCAGCCCCCACTCCCCCTCTCATCTGCCAACCATCTGGTAACTACTTTTCTCTTGCTGCTTTTAAGACTCTCTCTTTATCTTTAACTTTGGCCTTTTAATTATGAAGTGTCCTGGAGTGGGCCTCTTTGCATCCATTATAATTGGGACTCTCTGTGTTTCCTGGACTTGCAGTTTATTAGAGAAGTTTTCTTCCACTATTTTTTCAGTTAGATTTCTAATTTCTTGCTTTTTTTCCTCTTCTCCTTCTAGAGCCCCTATGATGCAAATATTGGAATGCTTGAAGTTGTCCCAGAGACTGTTTATACTATCCTCATTTTTTTGAATTCTCTTTTCACCTTCTTGTTCTGACTGATTGTTTTTTGCTTCCTTATGTTCCAAATCATTGATTTGATTCTTGGCTTCATCCACTCTGCTGTCATTTCCCTGTAAGTTGTTCTTTATTTCAATTAGCTTATCCTTCATTCCTGACTAGATCTTTTTCTATGCTGCTGAGGTCCTCATTAAGTTCCTGGAGCATCCTTATAATCACTGTTTTAAACTCTGCATCTGGTGGGTTGCTTATCTCCATTTCATTTAGCCCTTTTTCTGAAGTTTTGATATACTCTTTCATTTGGGCCATGTTTCTTTGTCTCCTTGTTTTGGTGACCTCCCTGTATTTGTTTCTATTTATTCGGTAGAACTGCTTTGACTCTGTGTCTTGGTAGTGTGGCCCAAAGTAGTAGTTGTCCTGTAGGGTCCAGTGGCATAGCCTCTGCTGTCTCCCAAGCTGGGTACTCGAAGTACACCCTTTGTGTGGGCTGAGTTCCCCCTCCTCTTATAGTTAGGACTTGGTTGCTTTTGGTAGATTAATGGGAGGGATTTACCCAGTCTAGTTAGTTGCAAGGATTGGCTTAGACCACTGACCACTAATATCCACCCTGCATAGAGGATGAGCTATGCAGGGTGGTGGTGCTCTGACATGGTCCGTAGCTATCTACTGGGTGCACTGGCCTCAGGATTTCCCAGGTGGTGCAGACCGAGGTCAGCCCCCACCTGTGTTTTGCCCGGGGCACCCTGCCTGAGCCCTAAAAGTAATCTGAGATGGCTGTTACTTGTGTTGGGCTTGGCGATTCCCAGGTGAAGCCAAGCTGTGACTCTAATCTGGCTGCCTCTAGGGCTCACTGAAGCCAGCTGTTCCTTGTTTGATAGGATTTAGGAGACCATTCTTATGGCTCCTAAACCGTAGACCAGCCATTCTTATGGAAAAACAGTTTGGGTGGGCCTGTAAATTGGGTGGGGCAGAGTATCTGGGGATCTCCAAGGCAGGTCAAACAGTGTTAGCCAAGTTGATGGAGTCTCAGATATGGCACCAGTTTATCAGCTCTGTGAGGGGAGGGTTTAACAAAGGAACAATGGCTCTGTTTGCCTTGATGCCAACACTTCTGTTTTTCCCTGTATACCACCGATGCCTTGAAAGCTGCTGCCCCACTGCTGGAGCTCAGAGGGAGTGAGTCTGAGAAGGTAAGTCTGTGTGTGGGTTTTTGAAGAGGAACCGTTTGGAGATCTAGCAGTTTCTTCTACTGACTCAATCCCCACTGGTTTTTGCATACAGAAGTTGTAAGGATTTATTTTCCTGGCACTGGAACCCTGGACTGGGGGGCCTGGCTGAGGGCTGGGCCTGGTCACTCCTGAGACATCCGTCCTGAATCTTTATCCACCACGTGTGGGGGTGGTACCAAGCTTGTTCCACGTCTGCGCCCCTCCTACCAGTCTGGATGCATGTGGATTTTTTAGTTCCACGGTTGTCAGATTTACGTTCAACTGGATTTTGTAGTTGTCAGACTTTCATTCAGCTCGACTTCTGACATTGCTGAGTGATGGTTCTTCTATATTTTAGTTGTAATTTTGATGTGGTTATGGGAAGAGGTGAGCCATGTCTGCCTACATCACCCTCTTGACCGGAAGTCCTCAGCTATTGACCAGGATTGCTTTTATATAAGGTATCTTGGTGTATTTAGTGACAATTATTAGAGCACTAGCTATGTACAAAGAAGCTGAAGTGTCATGAGCAGCCACAAATGAAAGAATAGGGCTTTTCAAATTTATAAATAATAGTGAGTTACAGCAGTCTTTCAGAAATGCCTTCCCTTAGCACATCATCCTCAAGGTCCATCCATGTTGTTAAAAACAAAAGATGTCCTTCTATTTCTTGAGATAAGCCAGACAGAGAAAGACAGACATTGTATGATATCACTTATATGTGAAATCTAAAAATGCAAATGTGTAAAAACAGAGAGTAAAATGGTGGTTACCAGTGATAGGGAGGTAGGGGGGCAGAAAGATGTTAACCACACAGACTTACAATGCTTAGCAAATAAGCCCTAGGGGTCTAATGCACAGAATAGTGAATATAGAAAACAAAGCTGTATTATAATCATCAAACT